ATAAAATGCCGATTAATCATAGTTAACTCGCTAAATATCGAAATTAGAAGACAAACAACTTGTATTTAAAGCATTTTTCGAAATTTTGAGAAAAAAAGATGCGTTTTTCTAAAGTACATAAACTTTTGGGATTGACTGTATAGCCAATGCATCCTTAAAGGTAGAAATACTTTTATATTAATTTCCAAGATGTACTTAAAGATTCTCGACGTCGAAGCAGGCTTAAATAAACGGAACCGTTCGGGATACTCCGCTTTGTGGCTAATATGACCGATGTATGTATGAGGCCACATCGCTTATAGGACTGGGGTGCATAAATATGTGCGTATGCGTCACCGCGCGCATAAGTGCCGATGAGGGGATTTGTAAATGATCTTAACATCTCGCGTCAATCGCTTATACTACTTCGACGTACGTACGTAGTCCCTCGCTATCGTACAATCAGCTCAGTTGAAACATTAATAACTAACTAAACGCTTATTCTAAAATAAAAATCACGAGTTATTGTTTAATATACATATATCTTAATTTAATGTAGGATGTGTAATAAATGGATTACATTAATAATTTATAATATCTGTGACAGCCTTTCCCAATTTCAGATATTTTTCTATTGCTCGTTCTATCCCCTCCGGATCCTTAAGGAAAAAATATATTCTGGCGGTTCATGTAGCCGCGGTTCGGATGGAGACGAAGTTTCCTTAAGACGTCGGAAACCGCGCAAAAAGAATCTTTCTTTCGTGGCTTGTGGCGCGGCGTGAAGGGGCGAAATTACGTCAAAAAGTCCGGAGAATTTATCGGAGCACTTTTTAAACTCCGCCTTCGCGCGATTAGCATATTATTTCTATGGAAGCCCCGGCAAGGTTCCTACGTCTGGGGGTAACGCGGCCAAGAGCATATCAAATATGTTGATAAATGATGCCTTTGAGCGATGAATAGGTGGCGTCGGGGCGCCTACGTATCCTTTTTCGTTCGTGCACCGAGCATTTGAATGTCAGAAGGAATGGCTTCAGTGGCTGTTCGACTCCCTGTTCCCCAAGCCATTCGGAGAAATCACAAGCGTCTGCGTCCTCCGCAGAGGAATATTCCTACGAAATCGAAAATATCTTGAGGAACCCGTCGACGACGGATTCGTTAGACCGGATCGAATATCGAATTCAACTACTCCTCCTTTGGGTATTACATTCATCGTCTGGATGGAGAATACTCGTGCCAGCGATTCGGCGAATGAACCTCCGCGATGATCGCAGAAAGCTTGCAAGTCTTCAGCATACTACCCAGCTATGAATATTAAAATTATTAAGTTCCAAGATTCACGTTGTACGTCTTGTCGGAACAAGATACACGGCGACGGACAATTCGCAAATCTTTAAGGGATCAAATCAACCCTCGACTTTGATTCCAAAACCGGTGGACACAGCTCACGTCGCGGTCACTGACACAAAACATTCCTCTGTCGCATTTCCGTGTCGGCAATCAGTTCTGGACGACCGCCCTTTTGTCAATCTACATATGTATGATTTCGAAACCAGAGGGAAAGAAGGAAGCAGAACGAGCAGAAACCCAACGAGCTTTCACATTCTACGTTTTCCCCGTTCTTCGATTGAATAATTACGAGGTCAAACACTATTCGAGAATTGTGCGCGCGAATGTATAAAGGGCCGACTGTTTGAAAATCGGAAAAATACGGTTGCGGTGGGAAATCGCGAGAACCGGATGATATTTTATCGCGTACGCGGTTACTATAGAGTAAATTGAAATATTTCGCTGACCAGCGATGTTTAACAAATTTTATCGTTCGATTATATTTTACGGGCCGCGAACAATAACGTTCTGACAATTAGCATCATAAAAGGGAGAACACACGTCGGAAAGCATAACGAGAACGGAATAAATTTTCGCACCGACGCCAAATTAATTGTTAACATACCCATGGTTTGGCAGTGTGTTGGTGATGGTAGCAAGCAACGCGGGATTGTCCGTGTATAACGAATCTCTGTGTTATTAACTAGGGGTACGGGTCGATTTTATCGTGCGAGATCCTTGGCACTGAAAGGGTAAGTTATCTACGAATTATCCGTTAATAAATCATGAAGAATTGTGCGATCGTATGGAATTGCAACATTATGATAATAATTACGGCAGAAATTCGTTGTTCACGGACTGCAACCGTGCAACCACAAACGAGGAGAGATTTTAATTGTTTCTTTACATAACTGTGATTCGCTTTACCACTTCCTAATGCTTCCGACGTTATTTTCAAAACAATTTTCTTATATTAATTAGATGCAATTAGGTGGATATGGAAAAAGAATTTCATTGTGAGAACTTGTGCTTCTACTTATCAGTGCACGGTAATTGGTTTGACCACAGAGAAGAGATATCTCGTCTGTGATTTGGCCGCATGAAATTAATAACGTTGCAAGAAATTATTTTACAAACATTCAAAGAAGTTGACATTATCAAAACGGCCTTCGATAAAACTGTTCTTTTATTGTAATAAAATCAATATTCTATGTAGTATTATAATTAGTTTGCGCACGTAAATAATTGAACAAGGTAACTTCTGAGGCGAGATTTTTATGCGAACTTTATTTCTCTGGAATTATTTATCTTTTTGTACGTCTTTCCTATTGATTAGTTCAATAAAAACATTTAATTATTGAAACTTGTCGAACGACGAAGCAATCGATAAATTGTAGATCTCACAATCAGACAAAAGTATTTCAGAATAATATTTTTAGACTTGCATTTCCGCTTTACTTCCGGTTTTATCGAAACATTTGTCAAAAACAGCATCTGCGCTTTATTTTTACGATCCCTTTGTGCTTGTTGTGCGATTACTAAAGTTAGAAATAAATTGAACGCGTGTTAGTAAGCGGTTAATCTATTTTTGAACGCGCACCCTAGAACAAAATCATGACCGCACATACTGATCGCGGCTAAGGCTGACCTGACGCCTTTTTTCTTCGTCTCTTTTCAGACGCATCAGTCGTTCATATTCCGACAAAGTCGCGTAGCACTGACATACCGAACGAAAGAGAAATTTCAGTTTCATTCTCGAAAACCGTGAACAAGAACAATAAATTGTACATTCGCTACAAAGGAAACTATTGACGGGACTTTTTACAACATGATCAACTGATTTGTACTTCATCATTTTGCAATTGGTGAGTAAGCCTGTTTAATATACGAAACGAAAAAATTGTATCGCGTTTTCTTCTTCATATGAATAATGATATCGTCAGTCATAATACAGGCAATTATCCGGTTACTTAATTTACTCATAGCCACCACAAATTGCTGTCATTAATCATTTTCTTGTCATCGATTGTCTGTCATCTTGTCGCTTTAAAAAGATCATAATTTGGAAATGAATTTGCTTCCCTTGAGAAATATAAGTCATTTGACTTTGGTAACACAATTAGAATGTACTGCGCAAATCTATCGAAGCTGTCGAATTCAAAATCGACTTTCGAGAACGATTGTGCAATATGCGAAGGGACGAGCAATCGATAGAAGTTGTTATGGGACGCAGCGGTGGATCTGTCAAATTCTTCATGTTGTAAGGTTATCCGCTTTTCGTTCCAATCCACAGAATCGTATCAGCATTCAGAATGGGCACACGCGTAACGTGTGTAGAGATTCTTCTCTTTGTTGTCACGATTCTCGGATTATTTTCAATCGGAAATGCTGCATCCGCGCATATACACTCCCATCCACGTAAACCTAACAGCAATGAAAGGATAGAGGACGGAGCATTCAGTCCACGGGGCATGGATCATTATGCAGGAGGAGAACATCATCAAGAATTCGATCATGAGGCCATTCTTGGTATTATTTATTTCATACAATTCATATAGGCTTGATAGTTTAAAAATCAGGTCAGTTTCTAGCCATGATCTGACTCTTTTACAGGAAGCGTAAAGGAGGCCGAAGAATTTGATAAACTACCGACACAAGAATCTAAAAGACGCCTGGCAATTTTATTGGCAAAGATGGACTTGAACAATGACAAATTCATTGAAAGGAATGAATTAAAAGCTTGGATTTTACGCTCCTTCAGGTAAGATTAATGAAACTACTGTCAGCTTATTTAAGAACGAGGATAACTTTAAATTTCTTTGAAAATTAGTATGCTTTCTGCCGAGGAATCTGAAGATCGATTGGAGGATGCAGATACTGATGATGATGGGAAAGTTAGTTGGAATGAAATTCTACAGGACACATATGGCGCAGATCCTGAAGATTTAGCAGCTGACGATAAACTCATTACCGATGACAAACAGACATTTCACGCTGCTGATATAAATAAAGATGGTTATCTGGACTCAGATGAATTCAAAGCTTATACTCATCCAGAGGAAACGCCAAGGATGTTTCCTCTTCTATTGAGGCAAGCTTTGGATGATAAAGATACGGACAAGGATGGCTTTATTAGCTTTCAAGAATTCATTGGGACTAGAGCTAGAGGAGAAGACAAAGAGTGGTTGTTAATAGAAAAGGATAAATTTGACTATGAACATGATAAGAACGGAGACGGAAGACTAGACTCGGATGAAATACTTTCTTGGCTTGTGCCGAGTAACGAGTAAGTAAACAATTCTTTTTAAATACGCTCAATGAGTCCAAAACATATCATTGAATATTTCAGAGAAATTGCAAGCGACGAAGTCGATCATCTATTCGCAGCATCCGACGATGACCACGATAACAGACTGTCGTTCGACGAAATTTTAGAACATCATGATGCATTCGTAGGCAGTGAGGCTACGGACTACGGAGACCACTTACAAGACATCGAACGATTTACGGATGAACTTTGAGAATCGTTCGCGAAATGCGTTAGCAAAATTTCTATCTCTTTTCACAATAACTACCAAAAACTTATATGGTTAAAAATATTTTTAATACTTCTCGATGCCATATTTTCAACTCTCATATGTTCGGTATTCCTATTTACGTTGCATTTAGGATATATTTATACTAAGATCGATACGAGACCATATACAATTGCACAAACTTATTCAAGATATTTAAATAATAGCATCTCACGTACCACAGTCTTCCAATTTTTACAAAGTTCAGTGCCATAAAGAACAACGGCATCGTATTGTACGATTAATTACTATGTATTACGTTTCTACGTATTTAGGTTTCACATTATGGATAAGAGTTACCAAGATTTTATTGTCATTGTCATTATTTATTGCGTAGGTAATAGTTACCTACATTCATGCTTTATTATCATTTTATTATGGAATTGTAAAAATAAAGTAAATGGAAATGAGTTAGGTACATGTACTAGCTCCTTCTTGTTAGTTTACCATTATGTACACACATGTAACTAGATATAAAATCAGTTCTTTACATTTAGTCTTGTTCAAGAATTTCTCTTGATAAAGACTAAAGGATACATAAGACAATTACGTTTAAGTGTCCAAACAATACTCTTACACGCAGTGTTCCCTACTTTCCATATTTATGTGACGAACCATGTGTAATTTTTTTTTAATAAAAGATATATTACATCATGAGCAATGCTTGAGATATAAATTAATAAGGAACTCATGTATTTTAATAAAGTATCTGTGAATTCGAATTATGTTCCAAATATTTCGTGATGGCGCTACATACGCGTATATATGGTATATATTCGATCTCAATTCGACGTGTACGACGATAGTATTAGTCAGTTTATTTGTTTATTGTAAGATTGCGGTTAAGATGGTTACAGATAAAAATACGGAAAATTATGTAAGTTTCATTGTACTATTTGAATGTATGAATGCTTAATAAATTACTTATAAATAAGTTTTCAACCTCGATTCGAAATATACATCTCTATGTATCTTGAGCGTTAGAAGCCTAAACGCACCACATATGGCATTTTTGGTAACATAAAAATTGTAATTTTTTAATGCTTTATAGATTCTTAATTTGTTTCTTTAATAATAATGTACATTTCTTCAATTTGTGATATAAATTTATTTGTTTATGAATGTTCGAAAAATAAACTTATACCGACTTTCAATATGAGTCTGTGAACAATATAATCTTTGAAAATCTTTCTTTTACCTAAGTCGAAACTCAATTTATTGTTTCAGGTAATTAAAGTTAATAAATGGGATGGTTCTGCTGTGAAAAATGCGTTAGATGATGCAGTCAAAGATATTCTTATAAAGAAGTATAATTACATAGAGAACTTTGCTGTACTGGATGGAAGATTAGCCCTGTGTGGAGTTACTGTAATAGTTGCAGTTGTTGCACTGCTGTCTGATTATTTGTATCCATTCCCAGCATCTAAATCTATTTTAGTCTCTTGTGTATGTTTGTATTTCTTTCTGATGTTTCTTTTGACATTATATACAATATACAAAGAAAAGGGGATATTTGTTGTAGCTATTCAAAGGTAAACTTTAATTATAAATAGTAAATTTATTGTATGTACTGGTAAATAACTTTTGAATATTGTGTTCTGTACATTTCAGAGATCCAGCAGGTTTCAACCCTGATCTCGTGTGGGAGGCAAGCTCATATTTGAAGAAACATGATGACAAGTATAATCTTGTACTCTCTGTTAGAAGTACATCCACAGGAAATTTGAATGAAACTAGTGTCACAAAATCAGTTGCAAATTTTATCGATGTCAACGGTGTCGTCATTCCGGAATTAATGGAGAATGTTGTATCAAGCATGCACGACAGTTTAACCAGTCAACGTAAAGAAAAATAGCATGAGAAATGACAATAAAATTGAAAAATTTGCTACTTCTTGATAATTGATAATTTGCTTTTTTTTAAATAGTTCATGTATAATTTATATCAGTGTAAATATATTTCCAGAATAAAAGACCCGATAATTTTAAAAGGGACGTATTATAATTCACATTAAAATACAATAAGGAAACAAACAAACTTTAAAATACAAATTTTCAGTATTCATTTGTATTACTATTATATCCATTCTAGTTGATAATATAATTCATTTTAACAATATCAGATGAACAAATAATAAATGAAATGTCGTACATGTATACTTGAATCAATAAACAAAGAAATAAAATGATAGATACACAGTGTATTAACGAAACATTAAGGCTTTCCTATGTTGCACGTCTAGCACCTAGTCGATCTCATCAAACAAATAAAACTGCGCTAGTTCATTCTCTGTGATTAGAATACATCATTTATTTTTCGACATACAAATTTATGCAAATAGTTGGCATAGAAACAATCAAGATGAAAGAAACAGATTTAAGGCTACACGAAATTCAATGATGAATGCTGAGGGCATCACTTTGAACCTCATGGCTCAATTGCGTTTGCAAATTGGATAATTTATTTTTCAGTGCTGCGATGCCCATCATTACAATATTTTCAGGCTTCAAAGCTCCACTGCTTTCCACATTAAAATAATACTTGTTTGGCTTAGCTTCCCAATTGAATGATGCCTCGTCTGTAATATTTCACACAATTTATATATAAACCTACATTTTAAATAATGTGACACTCACATTGATCTTCTTCTAATTCACTATACTCTGACTTTGGCCATTCATCTGGCTTTGGGTACAGTGTGTGTCTCATTGAATTGTCTGGATCATATTCAAAGCTCACTCCCGCAGTGGGATTCCATTTCGCATGTTCTTTTCCAAAACCTTTCTTTGCATATGCTCTTAACTTCAATTCTTGACCCTTTCTCAATTTTACTATTAAGATCTCTGTAAAAGGAGATATCAATTCTTATCACGTGTTACTAATGATAGTATCGAATGTATTATTAGAAAAAATTATGGACCATCTGTTTCTCCATATTCACTAGCATCATCTTCTCTGTGTCTGGACGTAACAGGAAGTACTCTTGGGTCACTGGATTTAAAATCTGCTGTGGTAACATGTCGTGTTTGATCTTCTGTACATTTTACATCAAGGGTAAACTCCACACTACATTCTGGACAGAAATCCATGCATTGGCAATCTCTTGTATATTGTATCCTATCAACAACCTAAACAATTTCACCATCTCTATCGCTTGTAATCTTTGTTAAAGAATTGTTGATATGTTACACTTAATAAATATAAATTATTTACATCGTCACTTATCAATGGTATCATTCCGATTCTGTGAGCTAAAAATTCATCACTCAGCACAGTCGAATTGGCTTCCAATTGTATCCAATCGATAGCCATGGTAGGTGTTTCAGCGATAAATACGCGTCTCATGCTATTTGCTACACTGTAAGAATAATAAGTTATAATAAATCAAGATAAACATATTAAATATCGAATAACCTGATTACCTCAATTCTGTATCTTCTACTTGGAATTTTACGTTCTCCTCGGTCAGATCCGAGATGTGAACCGACGGTTGATTTGCATACGGCATTTTGCTCCTTCTATTAAAAACTATATGTGTTTTATAATTTATTTATTCCTTCTGCTACTGATCGAAGAATACACATGCACAGAAAAATTAAGCGTTAGCCGCGTTCACCATTCCCCGCGTTATTCGACGTTGAACGTAAAAGTATTGTCCAGCATTGTCTACCACCGTCGCCACCTTTGCTTTGCTACGCATTTGCTACATTTGCTAGTTGTCAAACGAGAAGAAATGAAAAATGGCGGATGAAAATGAGGATCAGTGGTTGTACGGAGATTCAACTGACGGAAAAGAATATACACCAGCATCGATTCAACCAGAAAATCAAGATGAAAGCGATTCGCTTCCCGCTACCGTACAAGAGAAATCACAAACTCCGGAGGATCAAAAGACAGAAGATGTTCCTGACCCACCTACAGAGGTACGCTTCCTCTAACCTGTCTTCCCGGCATTTCTCACCGGATTTCGTTGAAAAAATGAATAGAACTAAATGCGACATACTAAATATACAAGCTTTCGTCAAGCCCGTTCTGCATATTATTGTCTAAAGTATACATGAAGAGACTTTATCATATCAAACATGAATTGTTTTTAATATGACATAACCTGCTGGACATGTAAATGCTCATAGACTAGTTATTGACATGATCTTAATTATATTCTTTCAGACACCTGAGGAGACAGAACCTCCTGAGGAAGAATCTCCCACGACTAACAGTGCACAAAATGAAAACAATACAGAGGTGAATAAAAATGGTATGAGAGAAACTTCCAGTCAAGAAGATGGTGAAGCAGCAAGTGATTCGGATTCTGATGACGATGTGCATGTTGTTATTGGTGATATTAAATCAACACCTGCATATGGCAGTCTTAATATTAAAAGAGGTGGCCTGCTCACAAATGCATCAGGTGTGCCTGATAAATTAAATAAACAACCAGGAAAATTTAGTATAGATGAATTTGAGACCATAGGTGTTATCAATGGTATACCTGCCCATGAGTTTAATTTAGACCAACTAGAGGACAAACCATGGAGACAACCTGGTGCAGACATTACTGATTATTTCAATTATGGTTTTAATGAAGAAACATGGAGAGCTTACTGTGAAAGACAAAAGAGAATGAGAAGTGAATCTGGAGTTGGTTTGGTATTGAATGCTGGAGGAGGTAGTGGAAGTTCAGGCAGCATGAGAGTACCCCAAGTCGCAATTACTAATGATAACAGTAAATACTCTGGTATAATGGGACCAAAGAGAGCAGGGCCACCTCCAGGAAGAAAAATGGCAGGGACAATAGACGTGATTGGAAGTTCAGGTTTAGCTTCTAGGAGAAATCTTGATAAATCTCCACCCAAAGGAAACGTAATACAAGTAATGACCGCAGATAGAAGAGAATATTCTAGGAAACCAGGTTTTCCTGATATGAGCGTGCCACCGCCAGGAGCAGGAATGCCTCCTGCATTCGACATGCCTCCTCCTGGATATCCCAGCGAGCCGGCTTCATTTTACATACCAGAAACGGATCCATACTATCAGAGCTATGAACCTACACAAGATAATCAGTGGGGCAATGATCCGGTACATACAGTATTCAGATTTGATCGGACTCATCTTCTAAAGAAAAACATAATGAAAATTATTTTCGTTTTAGACATGGCAACCGACAAATTTGGCTATTCCTATGACGGAAGGGGATGACGATAAAGATACTGGCCCGAAAACAATACCAACTATGGTACCTCCTACAAATATTCCGCCTATGTCAATGCCGCCCAGAGATTCTCGAGACCGTGAAAGGGATCGAGAAAGAGATCGTGATAGAGAATTAGATTCCATGGGGAGGGACAGAGAGAAGGACAGAGATCGCGATCGTGAGAGAGAAAAGGATTCCATGATCAGAGAACGAGAGAGGGACTCGATGTCGCGAGACGAAGACAGAGAACGCGATAGGTCTCGATCTCAATATCGACACAAAGATCGGTAATAAAGCGATGCAGATTTAAGAAATTACACATACACATATTCGGCAGATCTATTTCTTAATTTGTACATCTTTTCATTTTTCGATAAGTTTGTCATCTACGTAAGCGTAGTAACAAATTTTCGATAATCAACAATGCGTCTCGTCTTATTCTGTTTTAGACACCGGCATCGATCGAGATCGCGGTCTCGTAGGCATAAATCAAGGTCCAGAAGTCCGAGTCGACGCAAGAAGAAATCTAGACGTTCCGAGAGGGAACGTTCTAAAGAAGAAAGTGAATAAAACTGAAGAAACTTATGTCCGATCGCCCGCGGCCACATCGCCGCGAGTGTATCAAGATCGCAGATCTTTTTTTTTTAATAATGTAATTTTTCACATTCACTATCATGAGGATTACACATTGGTACAATTATTATTTTACGAAGAGTAGCAAGGAATACATGCAGAAAATTGCTTCATCTTATGTGAGACCGTTATTTGTCTCTCACCTGTATTTCGACATAGCTATCTATTAAATGAATTATGATCAGTAATAAATAAATTTTATCTTTAAAAGTATGCGATGTTCATTTCACAATTCTGACTGTTTATACCTACAATACCTTTAGGCAAATACGTCGATTTACGGGAGAATAAAAAACGGACACAGGACACCAAGGACCACCATTTGCCATTCAATGTATGGTTTTATATCATAATGTTATTACAGAAATGGTATTTTATAATAATTAAAATTAATAATAGTTTACTGGTAAATCACTCGGGAGTGAATCGTTTGATCGATACTCGTGCCGGTGCTGCCCTTCTCACCGGATTTGTATCGATCGATACGCACACATATTCTTTTTTTGTAAATTCAATTATACCACATTTTTTTGCATCAAATCTTCCCATGTTTCATTATCATTAGTATCATCATACATAATGGAAAAAAATGTTACATTTGTACAGCCATCATATACACGTTACATTTAGAATACCGTTAATTCATATTACCATTTTTTTTTCAAGTGTGTAAGTGTGTAAAAGTGTCGTGTGTACCTTATGCATTTAGATATGCCATTTATAAAATGCTAATAATCAAGACAAACTACTAGTATGGCTATCTACGTCTAATTTCGTAAATCGTCTCTGAATTTTGATCGCAGCTATTAAGAAATTTTTAATAATTCCGCTCTTATCTTTTTTCGTCATGAGTATTTAAGAAAAGTAGCAAATATTTAATAAACGTAGGCGAACGTAGATTGCCTTACGCGTAAATTGTCTCGAATCATAGGATGTAGATGACAATAAATAACGATGCATGTATTCTCAGCGTACAAAAAGGAAAATGAGAAACTAAAGCAACAGAAAGCATACATGTAATTGCGTTCAAAGTTTACGATACGAACAAATATACCATACAAAACAGACGATCAGGTATATGTGTCTGGAGTAATCATTTTGTTTCGTACGATAACTTTCGAGAGGAGAGCAAATGCGGCCGCAACGATGTATTTATTAAACGAATAAAAGTAAAGCGTTGAAAACAAAAATAAACGTATTAAGAAAATAAAGAACAAAAAACAAAATGTGAGCAGAGAGAATACTAACGACGAAATAAGTTGCGATTAATTGTGTCAACGAGAGGCAACGGGAAATGCACCGGATCCAAAGAGCAAAGCTTGCACGATGACTATCTAACTAAAAGAAAGCGCGAGAAAAATGCTGAATAGGACAACGTGAAAATTCTTCACGAGAAATTTCATGTTTATTTTTTATTATCGTTTTATTGTAATAAGTTATCACGACATCCTCCTTTCACATTATATTCAGATTCGAAAATCCTTTTTATTTAACGTTCTAGAAAATATGAAATACAATCGACAAAGACGCTAATTAGTATATAATAATACCTTAACGACGTGTTACCGTTCCTGGAAATAGTTTTACAATACATATATTATCGGCGGAAACGCTTTTGCAATATTGTTCATTCGACAGAACGTTTTAACGTAAAGCCGCAAAACAGAACTCTTTGGACCATTGAACCGCTACCACTACGCATCGAAAATATGATCAGCGTGTTTCAAAATAAAAAAAAAACGAAAAGAAAAAGGAACAATTGTAACAGGAAAAAATTGGGAACGCGACAATCATTATTGGTGAACGAACGAACACGACGCGCGTGTCGTTATAAACAAGAAAGGAACAAATTAATTGAGGGAAGCACAAAAATTGTTGCAAGAAACCGTTCGTCTTTTGGCTTTTCGCGTGCTCGTAAAAAGTGATTTCGCGTGCGTCTCGCATACTTTTTTTGTTTTCATCGTTCGAAATGTTCTAGCATGTCGGCTTTACCAATGTGTGACTATTTAAAAAAAATCTATATTGTTTCGCAACCGAGGAGCATAGGTGAGTGTTACTTATTTCTTTCTCTGTTTTCATAATTTTTTTCGAGGTGGCGGTTTCGTAGTGGCTCTTTTTCGTCGCTAGTGCACTTTTTATAAACTGATTTCTTTTTCGACATGCTTTCTCTCGTTATTTTTTTCGATTTCTTAGTGTTTTACTTAAATGGTACAATGACGTATATTTTTTTATCATATTTTTTTGTTTGTCTCTTTAATTCTACTCGTTCTGCCTGCTTGTAAAAAACATCGTCGAAAATGATTCTTTTCGTGGCTATTTCATCGTTTCTACGTTCTATACACTAATATACAAGTTATGTAATTTTTTGTTTTAATCCGTATGCCTGTCCGTCCCACTTATCTAATTTTATTCGCTAATATGGAATACATTTTCTTGCTCTTTCCATCTATCCATCTATCCATCTGCATCTACCGTGTGTCCCATAAGCATCACCGGCTCGTACATTGCTCGCGTGATCATCGAATTACGTACGACGACAGTTTTCATTTCGAACGAACATCATCGTCGTACCGATAAGCGAGAAGACAAGAAGAGAGCTTTCCAATAATTTAAACGCAGCGTTATCACAAAATTTCATGCCTCTCCGTTTTTCGAGCGAACCGCACAACGTAATGTGTCGAGCAATTTGCAAGTGACGAACTTGCTTCGCTCAGTAGATAATATATTACAAACAGGCCACGATTCAGCCGAAGACACCCTTTTTTCCCTTCTTACGTCAATGCCGAAAAGATCAATGAGTCCATTAATTCACAACAATGTACACGCGAGCGATTTTTGAATACCGGAACGAAAGGAAAAATGATCCGCGAATGAGACAAGTCGACGCGTGCAAGTGTATGAGCCAGTGGCGGTGGCAAACGAGTGTACGCGTACATATATGACATATATTTGACAAATATATACGATGTATATTTATATATATTTATATATATATGTTCAATTAGCCCTGCGAATCCGTGGTGGTTTGTCTTCGTGTAAACGTGTCGAGGATGGGGGGCGTGTACGTGTCGGTGTCGTATCGTGGCGGTGATGACGATAATGAGAATGATGATATCTCTGTGATGAGAATAGCGCGCAACTGTACATCAGTCTTAATATCAGGGCGCACCATTCCCGTGGATGTTGCTGTCTCTACGGTCCTTACTCGACCACCCCCGGTTCACTCTCGCTTCGCCCCATAAGCGGCGTCCGAGCGTGAACCGAGAGTGTTTCGAACCAGTTTTCTATTTTTCGTTTTTCCATTTGTTGTTCCACTAACTGCGTGCTCGTACACGAATATAGCGCCATGGCAGTTGAAACCGGTGGGTGCGATGATGATGCGAAACGAGGAGGAACATAATGTCCCCGATCCGCGTGGTGTACGCGACGGGAAATGGGTTGTTCGTCTTCTCTTCCTTCGTTGAATGTTCGTGGCTCTCTATGGATGTATGTTCGCGTAGCAAGTATTTTCACGAGTTCCGTGTCGTGTAAATGAGCGTAAGTGCGTTGTACGTGTGTGTATCGGTGTATGCACGATTGAGTGTGTTCTACAAGTGGGAGGTCGCAGATCTTTCATATATATATAATACAAGTAGCATGTAGTATTAAAATCATATACAATTGTTACAATATTTAAATAGTACTTATTACATATATATCATATACCGATAGTTTTCAAAGTTTTTAGGTATACATATACAGATATATATATATTTGTATGTATATATATGTATAATCAATTATTTATAGGGTTTGCTTAATTGTTTTCCTCTTTCGAATCGTATGCGTTCCCACCGGGACCCATTCTTGAGTTTTTACTTTTCGTCATTCTCTTTTTAATTTTCATGTCTCTTCATCGAGATGTCCACGAGAAACCCTCAAGAACGGGTGGCGTGTGTCCGGGTACAGAAGGGGCGAAAGTGAAAGAGGAAGAGAGTTAGAGAAAGAGAGAGAAATAGAGTGGCGATTGTATCTAAAGTACAAATATTAAATTGTTTAAAGGGATATACGTAACGCAACGTGGGAACGCTGTCCTATGCCTTGTACGATACCTCCGTATACGTTGAATCGTTCAGCGATTATCATAAAATAACCAGTCGAATTTACGATAAAGTTCGATCAATTGGTAAACCTTGACCGTGCCCCTCTTCGCGGACGATTAGTTACAATAATTTAACGCGGAGCACTTAATTAGAATTTAGACAGAACGGTGAATGCACCCGTTCTCTGAATACTGTTTCATCCGATTCATTATATACAGGGATATTACGATACGAGGATGCCCCTTTGACAATGTGTTCGACGTGCGCGAAATTTCGATACATGTTTCGTCCAATTTTGTTATCAAATTCGGTAATTTACACGCCTTTCTTTCCTGTTTTCTTTCTCGAGTTTCCGAAGGAACCGACGTGCCGACATCACAATTTTGCTCTGTAAAATATTCTCCGTCATGTTACAGGCAAGAATAAGTTCGATACTGTTATTGCGTTACAAATCCCGCGATTCGGATCCTTTATTAACAAAATTTATCATTTCGCATGTCGGTGACGACGAATCGTGTATATTAATTACGCACAGAAATTTATACAAAAAGGCATACCAAACCGTGTTTACAGAAATACTGAACAATGGTCACGCACTTTTACATATTTTACAAAGAGTACACGCTTCGCAAGGAACAGGATTTACACAGTACGATTCGCTATAGCTAGACAAATTTCATTTTTCGCAGACGGATCTGAGATCGCACAATCCGTAATGCAGGAAAATAACGAACGGCGAAAGGATACAAAGTTTCAAAAGTCAAAAAAAGATCGAAAGACCGTGAATCTTCGGTGTATGTCTGTCGTGTATTGTAAACGTGTTTACGCATGCGTGTCAGTGTATGTGTACGTGTAAATTCCGTTTTTCCATCTTTTTTCCGCTTTTTTTTTTCTTGTTCTGTTTTATACATGGTGCACGCGCAACCAATAATTATTCCACCATTCTCGCGCTATATAAAAAATTTACACTATTTATAATCAAAAGTCGTTTAAGATTTTTTTTTCATTCCTCAGAAGCTTAAGTAGAGATGTATGTATATATATATATATTTATATAACACGACAGCAATTAGGTGGTCAACCTATCGCTAAACGTCCGCACTAAACTTTTTCTCTTTTACTTAAAGCAAATAATCAGTGTCTCCTTTTTCTTAATATTTGCTCAACATAAGATAAAAATCAGACAGCTGGAGCGTAAAAAAATGTCCGTATTATTATTACGTACTATTATTTATAAAGCGTTATATACGTGAGCTTGTCATACTCGTGTTTTTATATATACATATACATATACATATATAAGTTCGCATGTATGTATATATATATATTTATATTCATATAGAAGTGTGTATTTAGCAAATATTAGTAAGAGTAATAATAATTAATAGAGGGAAGGTCGTTAATCAAACAATATTGATAATAATTATAGGAATAATAATAGTAAGAATGATAATAAGAATAATTATAAGAATCGTAATAAGAATATTAATAATAATAATAATAATTAGAATAATAAAAATCTAATATTAGTGAATAATCTTAGCTGATAAGACATGAGATTTTGCGTTCAACTTTCGCTTCTTGCGATGTATGACTCTCTTCGGTATTCATTTCCTGTTTCCTTTTTTTTTCCTAACTCGACAGGATGATTATTATTATTCGATGGTACTATTACAAATGAGATGTTGAATTTTCGACGTTTAATTTACAAATGATGCGCGCGATTTACACAGGGGCGGGAATCGAGGAGGGACGAAGGAACTAATCGTCATCCCTAATTAAATATTAATACAGCGTATATAACGCTGCGTTCGTATAGTAGTCCGCGTTTTAAAAACGGCGAAATATGCCTAATGTCGAACCTGTCGGGTGAGGGCTGAGGGCTTGAAAGTGGCGGTTGGAATGTCTCCTTATGTATATATGTCGAGATACTTTTTTTCCGTTTCGTTATACACACATATCGACATGTCACGCTATTTCACGTTCTTTTTTATATCGTTTTTTTATTTTATCCTCGGTCTATTTTTCTATTTCTCTTGCGGCTCTACAGTGAGCAGCCCCCTCTCAGCGATTTCCCAAAAGATCGAATCAGTTGGCAAAAGGGACAAAATTATAAATCCGTAATCGCGTTATCATCTTCTCTCCACGAGTATCGAGTGTAAATATCAATCGAATTAGTCGAGAGATCCCGTGCGAATAAAATCGTACCAGAAATAATCGGGTAAGTACTACGTCTCACGCACTTCCCTTCTAAACATTATCAATCGGTTTAATTTTCTTCGTTCATTAATCGGTCGCGTCACTAATACACGGTACAATTAATCCACCCGCGAAGAAGAAAGAGAAAGAGAGAAAGGGTACCTAAGATTTTGTCAATTTCATTAATAAATCGTTATTTACAATATCTTACAAAGAAAGCGGCTATACGTTCTTCCTCTTCTTTCTTTTTTGCTCTTTTCCTTTTATATTCCCCGTTTTTCTTATTCCTTCTTTCTGTACAAAATTGTGACGGACCTTAAGTTGCTGTGCGGTTCTCCCTTCTTTCTTTTCTTTCCTTTTCTTGTTTCTTTTTAAAATTCTACATATTTAACATCTAAGGTAACAAAATATTATACATTGTACACAGTTGAGATATAACTCGATCTTACATTTAATAAGCGCCTATCTGTTACGAGAATGCAACACGTAACGAACTTTTCTTTTTCTTTTTCTTTTCTTTCGAATGTATACAAACGTGTATAGGAAATGTGTCGCGCATACGAACATCGAATTTAAAAAATTTGCCGAGACTTTGCTTTTGTACAATCGTCGGGAGCGAGAAACTCCAGGCGAAGAATAATTATATACACGTACATGTCTCATGAAGCGACTTGGATGAACCGTTTTTAATTTCGAAATGCTATTTCGTTCTTGGAATTTTTCATAAAAAGGAGATTTTAATATGAACACCAACCAGTGATGTTGCGTTCAAATGTTTCCTCCGGGATTTTAACTGTTAGGAAAGTATGTCCTGCATAAATTAAAAATTAGCGATAAATTCAGAAGAAATAAAAGAAAATAAACGATACATAACGACGAGGTTGATTCATTCGAAGCAAATACCACGATATAAGACAAAAAAAAATAGTTACGCATAATTCTTTCGTCGTGACTTCGATTAAAAGGAAAAGAGAGGGCCAAGTGCGATGCTATTGAAAACAGCTGAGAGGTGATTTTTTCCAACCGCGTAGTCAGCGTACATATAATACAATCGAAATGCTTGATGTGTACAATTATGTTTCCTAATGTATGTGATCGTGTAAAAAGAGCTATGGGAGTGTGGGTGAACGCCGTGAAAAGATATAGATATACACGCATTGGGAACATTAATTTCCTGACGTTTTTCCATTTCTTTTCTTTTAAAGAACGCGTTTATCATTTATACAATGTACAACTGATGTCGATTACGTTCAAAGAACACCGCGACCGATTCGCGATGGCTGCGATTACGTTGAGTGGAGAAGGGAGTTGTGTCAGAAGAGGGTGGGATTATTTGGATGAAACGATTTCTTTCCTCCTTTGTCAAAAAATGTTCATATTTTACAACTGAATGTATGTGTATGTAAGGGTGGCAACCATTTTTAAAACGGTATACAGGAGAAAGGGAGATATTAACATACATAAGTATTTATCGAAGGGGTCAGCAGCATTAGAACGTAAATCATATTTAAATTTAATATAATTAGTAATTATTATAATACACGATATTCACAAAGTTCATTAAAAAGGATAGAATTCCCGTGAAAAGTAAAACATTATTGAATTTATGGTTCCTCACGATAGGGTTTGTCACGTCGTACCTATACACATTTGTTATTTATTTATATCACAATTTACAAAATTCGAGGATTTCGGGGGTTGGACGAAAAGAAAGGAGAAAGGTTCCGAAGGGGGTTCGAGGATAATCGGGGAGAAAGAGGTACGTAAAAAGGACATAAGAGAGTAGAAAAAAAATGCTTCGCGCTCAACGGCGGCAAACGTAAAAATGAACAAAGGAGAATCTGCTGACAACTTGATGTCTCTCCTTCTTTTTTGTTTTTTCTCTGTCTTTTAGTTCCTTTCGTTCTTTTCATCTCCTGCTAAATTCTGTCTTCGAGAAAAAAAAATTATACGCATACTTACATGTATATAATATACTGATGCCATTTTCGAAAATTCTATCGAACGTTAAAACGAATTAAACACGAATTCGATTTTACTTTCTTCCTTTTCCTTCTTTTTCAAGAACAATCTGAAGCAATCAAGGGGCAGATCGGCGGTCAGGTCAGGGGACACTCAGCTCCATTCCCATGTCAAACGCTATGCTAGGTTTTTAATCAACGTATCTGTAGCTTTCTAACCAACTATCAAATCTGAACAAACACCGATTCGTTGATCGAACGTGTACCGCACACGAAGATATAATACTACTTTCAGCGTGCAAAGTGTAGAGCGGTATACCTCGCGATCAAGACGTCTCGTGCACGTTGTTTACGGCCATCACATCTCTCGTTACAACTCGATATAAATGCATGCAGTTCTAAAGATCTATCCTAGCTGTCTAAACACAATTTTCTCTTCGTCGAATTGTTTTTCTGCTTATACTGTTACTTTACCGAGTTTTTAATCTTCTTCTAATCGACTTCTTTTTCTTCTGTACTTTAAACTATTTTATCTTTTTTCTTTACGTAAGAGTGCTGAGTTAAAAATCGGATATACTGTGAATAATGGATTTTAGATTCAAGAAACGAGGCGGTAAAGTTTCGGAATTATCGTGCCATTGAAACTACTGTTACTGAACTCATCGGTCGAACAAGTGGGTATTTTAAAAAGGCGATCAGCCATCTCAGCACTACAGTTTCTTTTACGATTGCTCGAACCTGTCCAGCTGTCACGAATAAACTCGGTTCTAGAAACATTATCAGCGCAGTTTTCCAATGTTAATCGCTACGAATATTATTTTACTCGGCAGCACGTTAGATTATTAAGAAAAAAAAAATGCACTGCACCTCTAACATGATTCTATAAATCCATTTTGCCTGACGCGCATTTGACCGTGAAATTTTCCTTCAAGCACCGTCGTTTCGCGTTGTCCGCCTCCCATTTACTTTGTATAAATTGGTGGTTTGTTCTTTTTATGCTTTTGAAAAAGTAAGAAAAATCGCCTCGACAACAATTCCTTCTCGTTTGGAACGGATACCGATTCGTCTTTCTTTTTCGTCCGGTTTTACAATTCAAAGAAGGGACAATGAGAAAAGACGGTACATACCGAAATGCATCCTTTTTTCCCAGCCATTAAGTAAATTAATGGCGCTCGATAAACCGTTGCCTTAAATATTTTTTACGTAGGTCTTGGTACGTGTTTTTCTTGAACGTACGAAGATCTTCCAAGTTGTTACTTTTTCAAAACCGTACGCTTATAGAACCTGCGTTGGCTGCTGAGCTGGCGTTGATACTGGACCAGCAGCAGAAGCAGGTGGTCCGATTGGACCAAGATCACCGCCTCCGCTCGAAGCACCGGCAGGAGTTGCCACCCCCATTGCGGACGCAGTTTTCATGAAAAACTTCTCCAGCTTCACGATAATGTGTTTGCCGTAGGTGTATTTGCGCAAGCTACCTAAGTGTGGGCGGATCTTCTGCATCAACACTTTGCGTTGCGCCGGTTCCGCTACATCGATCATCTTCTGAACCACGTAGTTCGCATACTGATCTTTCATCATCACGTTCAACGCACTGTTTTGAGATTGAACATAAAAAATGCGTTATTAGTAAAATATGTAAGAAGGAAACGATTGGAGGAAGCGATTTCTATTGCGAAACTTACTTGTCGTTGAATCCGCATACTTCTTCAATGAGTACAGCACGCTCCTGTCTCGTGGCATGTGTCACGCACTTTTCAACAACGTTGCTCGCAAATTTATGCTGAGACAGAGTAAGTACTTTACCTCTGACGCTGCTGATCAGTTGCGCTTTGTCTTCCGGTTTTCCGTGTTCTACAAAACGAATACGATACAAAACAGTGTTCAAGTAAAAATAAATAAAAATTAATTTCTCAGTCTAAATGATCAACAATTACCAAGCACGTGTTGGATCACATAATTTCCGTACTGATCTTGAATGAGTTGATCAGTTGCGGCGTGTAACTCTTGTAGAATGCCTTGAGTTTGCTCTGGGGTGCAGTGCTCGAGAATGCGTTGAATAACTCTGCAACCGTATGGATGGGTACTAAGAGAATAGACTTGACCAGCGAATGCTCCGATCACGAACTGCAACGCTCGCGGTTCGACGCACTCAATACATTTTTGCACAACATGATTTCCATTTTGATCCTTGACGCATTTTAATACGTGTCCGTCCAACTCTCGAACTATCTCCTGCTGCTGTTCCGCTCCGATCGATTCAAGAGCCTTCTGAATCACTCTACAGCCATACATCTGCAACGCCAAGGGCAGTACGTGTCCTCGAACCTGATAACATTTAATAGAAAAGTAGTGAAATCTTGAGTCACTAGTGAAACCGTTCGCCTATCGTTTTTAATTATTCAGTCAAGCCTAACTGTCTCGTCATATAAATCTGTTGACACGCAATTAGTCATCATTTATAAGACTATGATTATTAGTGTGTTAATAAAATAAACAAAATTAATGTTAACCAACCTTTTGGGCGAGAGTGGATTTCTGCTCCGGTGTACCAAACTCGAAAAACTTTTGAATAACGTAATTTCCAAAAACATCAGTCATCAATGAATATGCAGATGTGAGGATCTCTTGGAACACAAGTTGTTTTTCACTTGCTGAGGCACGTTCTAATTTTTGTTGGATAAAACGCGATCCGTGCTGATCTTGACTGAATTCGACTATGTGATTAGCTAGATCGCGTAGCTGAAGACTCGGGAATCTGAAACACAGTAAGAAGATAGCTCAGTAATATAATATGTAACGCAACACGTCTGTCTTCGCGTGTGATAAATCGAAACGGGAAGCGTACCGGTTATTCCTGAAGTCTTCGAGCAAACGTGATCGTCCTCCGGCGTTCTTATCACCGATACTGGTGGTACCACCGCGGCCGGGTTTGCCTACTAGATTAGGAAAGAGACTACTACTCGATCCAAAAACGCCGTTGGCTGTCAAAGCCGGAACCGCGCTAGCGCGGAACTTGGCTTCGGCGCCGGGGGCAGCGGAAACCCGACTGGCTCCGCCGACAAGTCCGCCCAAAGACCCTCCTAAAGTTGGCGGCGGCGTTAAGGATAATCCTAATGGGCTTGGCGATGCTGTTACCGTGCCTGTAAATGAGGTCGCGCGGCTCTAGACATACGTACTTCAACAAGCAGTAAATCACGACGGATGAAAAGCAGCCAGAAGATTATCTCACCTAAGGCTCCGTAACTCTGAGGCCACTTCGCGCGGCTATACTCCAAACTCGGACTAAACGCAGAGGTGTTCCTGTCGAACGAATCTCTTCGCGCAGTTGAAGAAGCGCCGAGACCTAAACCTGCGAACAGAAATCAGGAGGTGCAAAATTTTCGAGAACTGTATTTCTCCAAAAGAGACAAGCGCACGATCACTGAACTTTGATTTATTTTGGTACAACAAGACAGTCACTGAAAATATATGTACGTTGAATAAACATACGTATACACGACAAGTGTGTAAAGGACAAAACGTTAACACTTTCGCAAAGCATGCAAAACATGATGCGGTCTGCTTTTATTATATATATACAAAAGATAGAGGAGAATCGAGGATGCCGGCGGCGCCTGAGAAAACCGAAGCAACTTGGTTTTCGGAAGATTCCCGTTGGCTACGGGCTAGAAATTGTGTACCTGTGCTCTGAAGCTGAGCCGGCGAGCCTAGTGCCCCGAGCGGGGAGCCGCCATATCCTAGCGCCGCCAAACCGGCGGCTAGTCCTGATCCCTGCTGCTGTACTTGCTGCACCGCGACTGCTTGAGCCTGTGCAACCACCGCCGCTGCATTGCACGCCGCCAGACCTGCACCAAAAGCCCGCAACCCACACACGCTCTTAGTTCTCGAATTAATTCGCCGTACTTTACTGACCTTATACCATCTATAAAGCCTACCGGTAAAAAATCACCTTTCCAACAACACATACACACGCACGCTAATAGCTTCTGCTATCGACAAAAAATTCTTACTGACAATTCTTTCTTTTAGTCACGAAGGTTAATATACGTGGCGTGTATACACGTATGTACAGGACAACAGACATTATTGGACGTTAATATATGTATATGTATATATGTATGTATGTATGTATATATATATAAATAGGTAACACTCGCTTAACATATTGTTGTGCGAAAATAGTTTGAAAAGTGGAAACCTTCGTGGAAATCTTCGTGAGAACATAATTCCGGTACATGATAGTACTTTCAAGTTTGCTAAATAGGAGTTTNGTATGACGGAACTCATGTACGTCGGAAGAACAGTAACACATATCTACAAAGCTAATGAACAATTCTGATATTTAATTACAAGTCGTGATATGATTGCAACACATCTCTTACCCAAACATTCTCCGGGTGTCGCGTTACTGTGTGACGTCGGAGTAGCTTGTGAGTATAGACTCGGCGGTGGTGGTGCCGGTGGTCCCGGTGGCGGTTGCGATGGTGCTCTATTTACCAAAACCGGTGCCGGGCTGACTAATCTCATCGGGGTAGCCGCAGAACTTAATCCACGCACTCCGCCCATCACGATGGATCCATTTTGATCATAATAAGCGGGTATGACTTGATACTGGCCTTGGACCTGTAAAAATACAACCCTTCCTTTATATCTATCATGAACTATCAAAGTATTCGCGACAGGAACAACCCCTATCCTTCTTCGATTCATAAGAGATTGAAAACTAATATTTTCAATTATCATTCCAAAGGATAAGACTTACGGACGTGTAAGAAAACTAATAACTAATAGTCCTTGTTGCTTAAGGAAGAAGAAAGACCACGGTGTAAGAAAAAAAAGCGATCCCAAGATTCTACAATATGCCCAAATATGGTCATCGCCCACTTCGACAAAGGGCCTGTTTTGGGTATAAAAGGGCGCTCTACCTTGGCCCTTCGGATTAGTCTTGACCTAGATCTTTAGCACGCGGAAGCGCTGTCTCACCCGGTTGAGAGATTTCTATGTGAGTTTCTATATTTAGATTTTCCTCGCGACTTCACTGCGAAAATTGAAGTAAGAATTCTCTTACTGTAAAAGCAACACTTAGAATTTGCATCAAATAATAGAGAATATAGACTGCTTGTTCAAATTCCTAAATCTGTCTCCCTAATTCGCTTCCATTCCCTCCCGAGAGGGAGGGTCTGAGTTCTCAGCGCCCTCACATGCTCTGCGCGTTATCGTAGTCTCCTCAAGTATTTTTCCCACCGAGTTTTTCCCAGGCGTCCCGTCGTCGAGCCTTAACAAAGGCGTTCGGGTCCGAACGCCTGAGATCTGGGACTCATATCTCCGCGCTTTCGGTGGAGATCGGAGATCGGAGATCGGAAACGCACTCGGAGAATCGCTGTTATTACGAATCTTTCGATTTGGCCCATTCTAGAAACAAATCTTTCAAACCTCTCACCGAGTGGATCTGACTGGGAATTGTAGAAACGTTAATGGGCCGGCAAATTGCTGCCCGAAGTTTATATTTAATCTCCACGGTCGACCCTAATCGAGAAACGCTCAACAGCCGGTGAATCTACGCGGAGTGTTTCGTAAAGCATACATATATCGCTGATAGTTGAAACCCTCTAGTCGCGACAATAGGATTTATTTCTAAACATGTGCGCGCTGCTAACGGGGACCGATTCCGTGTGCGTCTCATCGCAGAGACAGACTAATTAGCACGCTTACAGTCTGGGCCAAATTATTTGCAGTGTCTTGGGCGGCAGCTGCCGCGGCCGCGGCCGAGGATGGCGTGAGCGGTCGCCTCGGTGGCGGTGGAGCCGCAGCCTGTGGTGGAGCCTGGGGCAGCAAACCAGCCGGGTAGACCCATGGCGCGACCCCATAATACTGTGGCACCACTGGTGGCGGTGCTCCGGCTATCAGCGCCCCGACGTATGGTTCCTGTCCGCTGATCACGGTATACGGCGCCGTGGGAAAGTTTTGCTGCTGCTGCTGCTGCTGTTGCTGTTGCTGGGCTTGAGACGCGGCCAAATACTGCTGCTGCTGCTGCTGTTGCTGTTGCTGCAGCAACTGTAACTGTTGCGGCGTCGCTCCTTGCGGCTGACTCCGAAACAATTGCTGCAACAGAAAGGATGATATCCGCATGTACTTAGATGCACCGTCTATAATTTCTTCCGCGTGTTGTTGTTGCGTGCACGGTTGTCGATAATGATTCCCAACAGTTTTCGTTTGAGAATACCGCGCATCGTACACGCGTGAGAGCATCGTAATCGGCGGTAATTTCACGTTTCTTTGCTATCCTTTTTGTATGAGGTTCCCGAGTTAACAATTATTATGAAATAGAAACGCAAACAGCTGAAAGGCATCGACGTCTCGCAAGAATGCCAAAAAGAGAGATCGCAGACAGAAGGAGGCAGTCCGAGGGGGAACAGTTGGTGGAGAACACGCGATCGCAAATTTTCGGCGATACGTGGCAGGCGTACGAAGCGTTATAAATGACGTCAACCCGTCGTCGCCATCGTCTTAATTTATTCGACAAAGAGCAGCGAGCCTTTAGAAACATGGAGGAACTCTGGGCAAAACTCCAATCGGTTCTGTAAGAGAGATAAGGCGCAGGAAGTGTACAATCAAGAGGGTGCCAATGGATGGATCCCAGATGCCCAGACGGTCCCCGAACACCTTTGTTTAGACGGGATGACGTGAGGCCTGGCTTTTCCGTGAAAAAAGCTTAGGAGTTAGAACTCGAATTCGACATGGACGAAGGGCTGCGAAGGCCTAGAAACTCCTTCTCTCGACACGTTAACGTCGTGTCTTTTGCGACTTCGCTACGTTTAAAAATAAGGGTTGTCAATAAACGGAGTATTTAATCAGCATCGATAGTAGATTTCTTACAGCTCGGACGGAGATTAAAGATCCGTTCAAGAAGTCGGATAAGCGACCGATTGAGTAGTTGATCGCACAAATCCTCGCTGCGGTAACGTAATCGGTCATTCCATAGCCCGATGACGACATTCTGTTACGTGCTCGGTGAAGGGAGGGGACCAGCCGAGCTGGGACGGGTCGGACCAGGTTTAAAGTTTCGGATCAAGGTCAGTGCGCGGGAAAGGAGAGAGGCGAGTTTGTCCACGTTCAGAGATAACGGCGTAAAAGCAGCGTTAAATCCATGGAGGACCGTGAGGCTTGGTCGGCTCGGCTTAGGTCGACGACCCCCTACGGACGTTCACCGACAAGCATTCGCCTCTATGTTACCGGTACCCACTCCGGACTCTAATTGACCGACAAACGTGCCTACGGTTTGACCGCGGGACATTGCTCCAATCCAACTCTTTTTTACAGACTTCTCCCTTTTCGGATTTCCGCATTACGCGATCTTAGGTGACAATTAGAGAGTCGGAACCACGTTTACGTAAGGAGGTCTCGAAGGAACGTGAAACGAATCGTAGAGAGAGAGTTCCATCAACCCGTTGACCTCGGAGTTCATAGGAGAATCCCAGTAATAAAAAATTCATAAGAATTTCAATGTATGTACATACAATGTCGAGCATACTTATTTTTTAGTGTAAAATTCTTAATTATAAGCAATTATATAAATGAATTGATAGCTAGTCTTTCGTTAAGCAATTACGCTACTTCGTTACGAGCAGTACGTAACTACGACTTCTTCTATTTCTCCTGTCATCATTAAGTTTAACCATAAAAATTATACCTCCCCTAGTCCCTTAACGAACACAACGATCTGTGTCTAAATAAATAGGTATTGTTCCCGAGCACCTAGGTTGTTGCTCCGAGAGCATAGAGACTTGAACCGTTCACGACACGCTCTAGCCCTCCGAGTCAGCGATGCGTTTCGGGTATTAACCTCTTCCGGAAGCGACTCGAGCTTAAGCCAAGGCCACGGTTACGTTCGATGATTATTCCACGCGCGGAACCTTCGCCATCGTATGGTCTCTCTCCTTTTTTTCCAAAGCCTACCAGGGAAACTCCTAGCCAACGGAAATTTCTAAATGTAAATGCGCGCGGATGAAGCGGTTTTAAAGTGTAGCTCAAACGCGACATCCGGTCGTGAATCAAACTCTCCGCATGGCTACGGTGGATGGCGCAATGCAGAAAATCTTTCTGACAGGGGAAATTTGAAAATCAGCGAGGGAGACCCAGTTCCGATCAACTTTGTCCCACTTTTCGACAGCGTGCATACAATGTAACTATTCCTGAGCGACTAAGAGATGGAAGGATCGAATGACTTGTTTATTTTGCCTCGCGTTACGATCCCATTCGAGGAAGAATGGTCGTCATCGCCCTAATCTAGCGCTCGCCAAACGATGGATCCCCAGATTACCGCTCCTTATATTTATCCCGTCTGCGAAATGTTTAAAGTTTAGTAATACCACAGTCCGTAGCTATCTTATCTCGTATAGGCCTGAGCCAGGTCTGGTCGACGATACAATTTCAGGATATTAACGCGACGAAACCGAACACTTTTCCCCCTATCAATCTTATCGCCCGATTAGGCTTCAATTACTTAACTCAACATTTCATCCATGTTCCGTCGGATCCCCCGTTAGTACAAATTACGTTGATTACGGTTGGATGTCGGTTACAAAAGTGACACCGAAAGGAAACCGGGGATCGCGATGGTCTCGTGTTCGCGGCGAAAAAAAGAACGGGTTTAGAGAGGGCACTCAATTCACGGCACAGTTTTGAATGGAAGTTACTGCGGGAGCCATTACCCGCAGAAGTCATTAGTGCCCTCGAACCTCGGGAAGAGGCGAAAAACGAACGACTAAATGGAAATCACGGTGATTGCGTTTGAAAAGGGGGAGGGGTGAAAAAAACCAAGGGTTGACGAGAGCACGGAGCACATAGGGGGAAACCGGGGGGACCGTTTGATTTCGGCAAGGGCGGGAAACAATGCCCAGAGAACATTGTCGTAGGTGAGAGAAGAGGGCTGGGGGATACGTTCCTGGGAAGTGTGACTCACTGTTGAATACGTAAGGTTTCCGCCGTCGGCTTACAAATCCGTGCGGCTCTACAATACCAGGGGCCTATTGATTCCTGCCTGCGCTTCCTCTCTCGCTCCCTGCACGCTCGAGTATCCACACGCTGAAGAGCGGAATCTGGCACGAGTCGACCGTGACAATCGTTGCCAGATTTTTCGAAAACCCTCCGGGCATTATCCGTCCTTAATGGCTCGGTGGTATTCGAATTTTCCGGCACACGACCGGTGCAGCTCACTGACACGATCTTCTCGCTGGTACATACCTCGTTAAAGTCGAACGACGACCGCAAGAAAGTCAAACCGACCAACTCCGCGGGACATTGCTCCAATCCAACTCTTTTTTACAGACTTCTCCCTTTTCGGATTTCCGCATTACGCGATCTTAGGTGACAATTAGAGAGTCGGAACCACGTTTACGTAAGGAGGTCTCGAAGGAACGTGAAACGAATCGTAGAGAGAGAGTTCCATCAACCCGTTGACCTCGGAGTTCATAGGAGAATCCCAGTAATAAAAAATTCATAAGAATTTCAATGTATGTACATACAATGTCGAGCATACTTATTTTTTAGTGTAAAATTCTTAATTATAAGCAATTATATAAATGAATTGATAGCTAGTCTTTCGTTAAGCAATTACGCTACTTCGTTACGAGCAGTACGTAACTACGACTTCTTCTATTTCTCCTGTCATCATTAAGTTTAACCATAAAAATTATACCTCCCCTAGTCCCTTAACGAACACAACGATCTGTGTCTAAATAAATAGGTATTGTTCCCGAGCACCTAGGTTGTTGCTCCGAGAGCATAGAGACTTGAACCGTTCACGACACGCTCTAGCCCTCCGAGTCAGCGATGCGTTTCGGGTATTAACCTCTTCCGGAAGCGACTCGAGCTTAAGCCAAGGCCACGGTTACGTTCGATGATTATTCCACGCGCGGAACCTTCGCCATCGTATGGTCTCTCTCCTTTTTTTCCAAAGCCTACCAGGGAAACTCCTAGCCAACGGAAATTTCTAAATGTAAATGCGCGCGGATGAAGCGGTTTTAAAGTGTAGCTCAAACGCGACATCCGGTCGTGAATCAAACTCTCCGCATGGCTACGGTGGATGGCGCAATGCAGAAAATCTTTCTGACAGGGGAAATTTGAAAATCAGCGAGGGAGACCCAGTTCCGATCAACTTTGTCCCACTTTTCGACAGCGTGCATACAATGTAACTATTCCTGAGCGACTAAGAGATGGAAGGATCGAATGACTTGTTTATTTTGCCTCGCGTTACGATCCCATTCGAGGAAGAATGGTCGTCATCGCCCTAATCTAGCGCTCGCCAAACGATGGATCCCCAGATTACCGCTCCTTATATTTATCCCGTCTGCGAAATGTTTAAAGTTTAGTAATACCACAGTCCGTAGCTATCTTATCTCGTATAGGCCTGAGCCAGGTCTGGTCGACGATACAATTTCAGGATATTAACGCGACGAAACCGAACACTTTTCCCCCTATCAATCTTATCGCCCGATTAGGCTTCAATTACTTAACTCAACATTTCATCCATGTTCCGTCGGATCCCCCGTTAGTACAAATTACGTTGATTACGGTTGGATGTCGGTTACAAAAGTGACACCGAAAGGAAACCGGGGATCGCGATGGTCTCGTGTTCGCGGCGAAAAAAAGAACGGGTTTAGAGAGGGCACTCAATTCACGGCACAGTTTTGAATGGAAGTTACTGCGGGAGCCATTACCCGCAGAAGTCATTAGTGCCCTCGAACCTCGGGAAGAGGCGAAAAACGAACGACTAAATGGAAATCACGGTGATTGCGTTTGAAAAGGGGGAGGGGTGAAAAAAACCAAGGGTTGACGAGAGCACGGAGCACATAGGGGGAAACCGGGGGGACCGTTTGATTTCGGCAAGGGCGGGAAACAATGCCCAGAGAACATTGTCGTAGGTGAGAGAAGAGGGCTGGGGGATACGTTCCTGGGAAGTGTGACTCACTGTTGAATACGTAAGGTTTCCGCCGTCGGCTTACAAATCCGTGCGGCTCTACAATACCAGGGGCCTATTGATTCCTGCCTGCGCTTCCTCTCTCGCTCCCTGCACGCTCGAGTATCCACACGCTGAAGAGCGG